AATTAATTCGACTTAATATTTAAAAATAGAACAATTTATTATTGGTTGAAAATGTTTATTGTGGCGTAGCATTTTTTAATCATTATTTACTCAAAATCAATTTCTTATCCTGTAAGGTAATTTTAATAGCTTAGCCCCCATATATTAAATTAAAAGAAATTAAAAAATCGCGAAGGAAAGAATTAAAAAAATTAAAAAAGTTCGGAATTAAAAAAGAGAATACATTCGAAAAAAATATATGAATAAAAATTAATAAAAAATAAAAAAATTTAAATTAAAGTCGCGGTATAAAAAAAAATAATTAAAAAAATTAATTAAATAGAAAATAAATAAATAAATTATATTTTTTAAATTAAAAAAAATGAAAAAAAGAGCTTTGGAATTGTGCCGCAATTATGGTTTTCAATAGGAAAAAATTCCTTCCTAAATAGTGTGAGTACAAATGGAAAAATATTGAGTGAGCTTGCAAGGTAAATTTATTTTCTTGATGAATAAATCAAGTATAAATTTATTCTTATTAATAATCTAGCTTAATACTAATTATCGGTTTGATATTCGTATTATAATGATTTTAATTTTAATTGCTAATATTCTTCATTATTTAATGTATTTATGAAATATTTGGTTTCGTTAAACATCATGGAGATTAGGAATATTATGTTTTTTTCCTTTCGGGAAAAAAACCATCCCCATAAAATAAATGGGTAATCCACAGGAACGTGTCACTCATTAAACATAATACGTGATTATGCATGATTAGCGATTTTGTCATTTTTTTTTCCCATGCTTCTTTTTTTTTTCCTTAAATTGTTTCTTTCTATTTCATATTATTCAACTCATTCTTTTTACATTAATAACGACAAACGCAATTTGTTTCATCAACAAAAAAATCAATTTCAAAATTTCAGAATGCATCAACAATTGCAGGTGTATTCGTCTTTCAGCATTAATCTATTAAGTGTAAACGAGATAATGCTTCTCTTTTAAATCCTACTAAAGATGTGGCATTAAAGGATTCAACTAATTATACAAATAAATTTGGTATATAAACAAACATTTCTTGAAATTTTTTTATTTTATTTTTTAGAACTAACTATATTTTTTTTAGGATTTTCTAAGGCATCTGAATTAATTGGACAATATGGCGATACTAACTTTGTTAAAAAAAATGAGTCAGATGATGATTTAACGTGTCAAAAATCTAAAATACAAAGATTTCTATAGAAAATTGTAGTAATATTAATATTAATGCGATTAATATTGTTTATTAGAAATTATATTTTTATAATGTATAATCAAATATTAATCAAATAAAATTTCAAATAAAGCACGTTATTTAGTTTTAATACAAATTATTAAGTTGTTATTTTTA